CAGTGCCCTGGTCTATAAAAAGGTGCTCATTGCTATTACACTGTTATTCCCTGATGCATGCACTTCGTACTCTTGCTCCTCCCGGCTCACCCAGGCCCCAATGTGCATGAGTCCCAGACACACAGGGTACGGGGCTGTCATGAAGAAGGAGTGAGGACACAGGGCCCCAGCGTGTGGCATGGAGGGGCCCTGGGGCCCCAGGCTGGGCAGGGCTGGGGGTTCATTTCACCTGGAGCTGGATGGGGAGTTTGTTGGGGCCGAGAGTGAAGCTGGTGGAGAAGAGCACAGCACACTTCTCCTCAGTGACAGACTCCGTGCCCTTCCGTTCACACCGCTTGATTTTCTTCAGAAGCTGAAGGGTGGGGTGAGGGACAGCGGGACTGAGGACAGAGATTCCTGGGCTCCCAACACCCTCTCCAAGGAGAGTCCCATAGCCTGAGGACTCTTACCCCCCTCCCTGCCTGTCGGCTGTTCCCTGAAGCCCTCACCAGGTTCTTGAACAGGGCAGAGCAACAGTTCCCAGAAACACTGATCTCCAGGGGCACGGTGTTGTTGGTGATTTCCCCAGTGCTTTCTCTGTCAGGGGAAATCAGAGAGTGAGCAGGCTGGACCAGGTGTGGGGGGGAGCTTGAGTCACTGGGTGAATGGCATGGACTTCTGGCTCCAAACTCCATCCCCCCACCTGGGTTCTTAAGGAAGGCATCCCATCTTGGCCAAATCCTGCTGCCCCCACCCCATTCCAGCACTGATGGGACCCTCCCCTTCCACTGCCTTGATCATCCCATGGCCCTCCCTCTCTATCACACAGCTCTTGGAGGTGCCAGTACCCCGGGATCCTCCAGCCTCCACCACCCCAACAGGCCTTCTTCAGCCCCAGCTTACGCTCCAGCCCCAGGCCCCTGGGGCATGCTCAGCTCCCTCGCCTGCTTCTCAGTCACCATGTCAGCCCTGACCAGTGGCAGCTTGGCTGAGGCCCCCAGGAACCGTAAGCCCAGCAGGAATCGAACCCCAGCAGAAAACTTGGTCTGAGTTTTCAGAACCTGGGGGGGCTGCTTCTCCACCAGGAAAGAGCTGGGAGGCGTGAGAAGGACAAAAGAAGAATTAGCGGCTGGGTCCCTCCTGGTGCCCTCCCCACAATTCTCACCCTCTTCCTTCTTTGGGGTCTTCCAGGCTAGGGGCTCACAGGGCATACCTGGTGACAAGGGTTTGCAGGACTTCATCCAGCCGGCTAATCAGTGCTGCCCGGGTCTTGGGCTCAAGCTCCCCACCAGCTGCCCCCACCTCCTGCTGCAGCTGAGAATAAATGTCCACCAGGCTCTCACACCTGGGGGCAGGACAGTGGTCAGGGGGCACAGGATTTAGGCTACCTACTCCAGCCCAGACACCCTACCCTTAAACCTTGGAAGAAAGCAGGATCGTGTACGTGGAGGGGTGGAATAGGCAAGGGGTGTGGTTGCAAGATGCCTGGGCTGAGGGGGTTCTGGGGCCTGCCTTGGCTCTAGATAGGAGGTTCCTTCTCAGTGCCTGGATCCCTTGTGGAACCCCAGCTGCCTCTTTTCCCAGGGCTTTGATACTCAGGTCAGCTGCCAGCACTTACGGTGCTTTTACGCAAACTGAGAGGTGCCCTGCCCAATAGGTCAAACAGAGAAAGGCTTCCTATTCCCCTGGGCACAAGACTTGAAGAGAAAAGCGTGGGTTAGATGAACTCCTGCTGTGCCCCCTTGGGCAGGTGGTGGGCGTACTTGTACAGGATGCGACCTGAACAACAGTGTGCATGGCTCTGCTGGGACCGGCTTCTCTGAGTCTTGGCCCACTCCAAGGCCCTCTCACCTGGCTTTTTCTCTCACACTGGTGGTTCCTCCAGCATAGACAGCAGGTACCCACCCCATTCCACTCCATTCCCCATCAGCCCTGCCCCCACCTCTCCTGTAGTAGCGTCATGCTCTCATCAAAGGGGGCGCCATTCCCTGCCAGCTGCTGCTGCCGTTTCCAAATCTGGATCCTCTTCAGCACCAGGGCCTGGACAGCCTCCAGCTCCCCAACAGTATCCTGCAGCAATAAGTCCAGGGCCTGCGGGCAGGGAGGGCCTGAGCCAGGGCCACGTGCTGCCTCCTCGCCCAGCTCTCCTGATGACAGGGCTATCTTTCTCACCTCTCTGCCATTCCCTTATCCCACCTCAGTCTGTCTCTCTGAGGTCTAATCTCCATTCCCCCACAGATTTGAGATTCCTCAAAGATTGTACTTTGAGCTCAGTCTCCACCTTTCAGTCCATTACTCACCTCACTTGGCTCAGTCCCATGGGCAGGGGTTTGTATCAAGCTGTGCAGAGACACTGAGGGTAAGGGCAGAAATCAGGGGTGCAGACAGATTTGAGGATCAGTCAAGGTTGAAGTCCAAGAGGAGATCACTCCCACACACTCCCCCAGAACCCTCTTAGGGTTCCAGGCCCACGTTCCCACCTTGGCCAGCCTCAGTCCCCTGCTGCAGGGTTTCTTGGAGAAGGTGAATTTCCCCCACTCGGTGCTGCAGCCTCTGCAGGGCCGTGTTAAACTTGAGTTCCTCCTGCTTCCAGTGAAAGGGCATTGGCAGGTGACGGAACTGCACAGGAGGGACAGACGCCAAGAAGTGAATTGTAATATTCTGCCGATTTCGCTCCACTTGGCCTCCACTCCCTAAGGATGCCTGCTGCCATGCCACTTCCCTTGACTCCCCTCGGACAGTTCTTCCTGACCTTTTGGGATCTTCCAGAGATAAAATCAGCTCTTTACTCCTCCATAGACCTCACTACCCTCAGTCCCTCATTTCAAGCCTCAATTCTGAGCTTGGCTTGAGGTTTATTCACTCTGACCCTAGGAACTTCCTGGGACGAGAACACTGAGCCTTTCCTGAAGTTCAAATTCCTTCTAGTTTCTCATGGTTCAGGCTAATGTTCCAGGGAGTTGAGTTGGGGTGGGAGGTGGGGTATCACAATACCTGTTCCATAACTGCTTTTTTCTCCCCTTGAAGTATTTGCCTGAAAATGGCCACCAGCTTCAGGGGGTCCCTCTGATATATGCTCTATAGGAATGAAGGATGATGGACAGGGTTAGCCTGGCTCTTACTCACGTCAGTCTCCTCCTTCAACCCCCATCCACCCCTATTCACACATGCACTAAAAGGCAATACAGCTGTAGAAGTTTTCGTGCATTTGCATGCTTTTAAAATCTAATTTGCATGCTAGCTAACAGCTAACAACAGGAGCACCAATTTACTTCCAGTGTCCAACCAATTTTCTTCCAGCATCCAATCCTCACCCCAGTTCCACTCCAGCCCCATTCCAGCCTTGTCCCCTCCCCTCCTGCCCCCACCTCCAGAGTGCTGATGTGCTGCAAGATGGCACTCCCCTCTCCCTGCTTTCTGGCAGAGGCCTGAAGGTGCTGGATAGTGGCAGAAAGTAGGGTGCTGGCCATGTTGTGACAGAAGACATCTGAGCCAACCAGGAACTCCCTGTGGGAAGATCAGGATGAAGAGGACTTGGGTCAGGGCTTCCTCAGCTCTACTGACCCTCCACCCCACAGCAAACAGCTCAACGGCTCCTTCTCATCCTATTCTCCATCCAGAGCCTCTGCAGCCTTTATCATACCTCTTGTTCCCCAATCTTCCAGCTGTGATGGGAAATGCCCTTGCCCCATCCCTGACCTCCCTCCTCTTTGGTTTAGCCTTTTGAGAGGGTGGGGGACTCCATGTGTCAACATGCACAGTCTGGTTGATGCGGCACAGACTCCCTGCTAAGTCTAGGCCACCATGCATGAAATAATGGGTCCCAAGTCCCAAAATGGAGGAAAGAAAGTCTAATGAAAGGGAAAATGGGTGGGGAGGACATGGGGGACCAGCATGGGGCAAACCAGAACTCACCAGGGCTGGTTCTCCAGCCAGTCACCCAGGAGGTGCCGCAGGTGATGGGGAAAGTCAACATAGAGCCGCTGCAGTTTTTCTGGGGGCATCTGGGAGACCAGCCCCCACAGAGACATGACCTGTTGTTTGGAGGGCATCTGGAGGAAAGGAATAGGTCACTGAGAGGTGCCCAAGAAGGTGGCCTATGTTCTGATGGGGGAGAGGGGGTCACCCCTTGTAGACAGCCCTCCCAGAGACCATCCCCGCCACTACTCACAGCCAGACCACCTTAAACTAGGGACATCTTTGGTTGGTACCTGAGACAAGGGGATCCCCTCACTGTAGACACAGGGGTGATAGGATGGGAAGAAGTGAGCTGCAGCCAGAGAGGTGGGGAGACAGGTGAGATCGGGCAGTAGGGAAAGCTCTTTGAGAGAAGCCAGGGGACGTGGGTTGCATCTGTAGACCTGGCTTTGGTACTGTGGGCAAGAAACCTCCCTCTGTGTGCCTCAGTCTTCTCATCTATAAAATATGAGGCTTGGATAAGTGCTGAACTTTCCAGGCTTTTTAACGCAGTAAACAATTTTAATCTGTGGAATCCTAATTACATAAAAAGTATAAAATTGGAGTTTCTATGTTGAAAGCAAGTATGGTAGGCCTGGAACTTTACTGCTTCTAATTGTCTCTCCCCATGTCCTGACCCCAAAGGTGTCCTTAAGAAGCCCCTCACAATTCCAAGTTCCCATGAGATAATTTGAAAACTAGCCAGCTAGATGATGAAGAAGAGGATGTAGAACAATAATAGCTACCGTTTACTAAGCACTTACTATGTAAGTGCTCATTACAGCCTCACAATTTTTAAAATATATAATTATACCCTTTCATAGATGAAGAAACTGAGTTTCAAGGGGGCAAGACCACATGGCGAGTTGGAAATCAGGATCTGAATCTGAATGGGGGTTGACCACCATATTGTATTGTTAGGATCCCTTCCAGATCCAAATCCCATCATCCTAAGAGGAGTGTGCTGAAGGAGGAGAGTTGAAGAAGGCGTGATCAAGCAAAGGGGAAAGTAGAGAGAACTCATCAAGAAGGTGAGAGAGAATGAAGAAAAAGTGGCTAATAAGCGTGGAGTGAAGAGCCTAGAAGAGGGAGAGAGGAAGCTAGAGGCTTGGTTAGAAGGCCAAGGACAGAGAAAAAAAGAGAGAGAGGACAGGAGGAGATGGGAGAAGCAACCCACCCCGTTTCTGGGTGGGTTGCAGAGTCGGGTGGGTAAATCAGTGGTTTCCCAGGGGTCTCTCAGTTCATGTTTCTCGTAATGTCCCTCTCCCAGAGATGAGGGAGAGGAAGGGGTTGGAAACTCCCTGGGCATCCCCCAACCCAGTAACCCCAAATCTTCCTGTTGTGCTTTTAGCCTCCCCCTTCTCCCAGGACTCCCGAAGAGAAGGAGAACAGAGGATCCCTTTCTCTGGAGACTTCTGCTTCAAGACCTACTCACCCAGTCCCAGTCCTCCCCAGCTCTTTTCGCCCAAAAGCAGAATCTTCCCTGCTCCTGCTCAGGGTCCTCCAATTGGCCTTTCTTTATCCCTCTATTTTGGGGGGCACCTTTTGGTCTGTCTTTGAAATTCAAGAGAGGACTCCATTCCTCTCTCCTCTCTTCCACTCGTGTTTCTCTTGGTGCTCAGACCTTTGACCCTCTACCCTTACCCTATTGAGGACTGAGGCCATCCTTATCGTTAAGCCATAGACAACCCCGCTTTCTTCTATATCCCCATGTTGAGTGACCAGCCTCCTGGCCTGGCTCTAGTTTCAAATCTTCTTCCCCACTCCATCCCAGACATCAGGAGGCCACACTTTCCCCCATTCCCACCCAATAACAAAGCTGAGTCCTTGGCTTGTCAGAACAAAAGCACCACCTGCTTCAAGGCCCCTAAAAACTGGAAGGGACACGGAGGAGCCACAGCATGAGGGGGTGGGGCCAGTATTTCCTTCCCAACCGGGAAGAAAAGCTCGACGTTCAGGCAGGGTTCTTATTACTCACTTCGTGGCCTAAACGTGATCACCTCAACCCTTACATTTCTGACCGTGGGACCACAGGATCAAAAGTCAAAAGAGCTTCTCTGAGTTGCCTAATGTGTGTTTGTGGCGGTGGGGGCGGGGAGAGGGTGCAGGGAGGCGGAGCCAGTTCAGCACGAGGAGGGTTAACACCGCGCCGCTGGGAAATCTCGGCGTCTACAGCAGCCAAGCGTGGAGCACTTTTGAGGGGGAAATTCCCCCTCCTCTGGGGCACCATGAGGTCTATATCTGGGGCTCACTTATCCCCAGTTCCTGAACAGGAATCTGGGTAGGGGAACAGGACAGGGGTTTGTCGAAAACCCACTGCCCTCTGGCATCAACCTTCTAGGGAGGGGCAACCACTTCCCCCCACACACACCCAGCAGGCAGAGGGACACCAGCTTGCCTTCTTTTCCCAGTCTTTACTTGTCCCTGGATGTGTGGGGGCAGGGGTGTGGAAAAAGTGACCCATGAGGGGGAGGTGGGAGTGCTGGGCCTGTACCCATCCCAGATTCCTCTTCGATTCGAAACTGCCCAAACCCAGTACCACCAGCTACTAACACCAGCTGAAACAATTTCTTGGGGACCATCCACCCCGCCCAGGGAAGGATCCTGAGGGCCCCCCCGCTAATTAATTCACACCCTCTCCTCATACACTGATAGTCAGAGGCCCCCACCCTCCCATCGTCAGAACCATCCCCTCACCTTGGTAACCCCTCTGCTGTCTTCTCCCTCTCTCAGCGGGCACTGCCAGGCCCCATGGGTCTGTAGCTCTGTCCAGCGAGTTCAGGGCTGGCCCTGCTAGCACCCGCCCTCCGCCATCACCACCAAAAAGAAAAAATACACACACACACAGACACACAGACACACAGACACACACACACACACACACACACACACACACACACACAAAATCCTCTCCCGTCCTTCCTCCTCAGTATAAGCAGTGGCTGCCCCAGCCTGCTGTTTCCGGCTTCTCTGTCTACCCAGGTCCCTCCCTGGAGCTCTGACGACACAGAGAAGAGAAAGTAGGCTGGAGGAGGAAGAGGAAGAAAGTGGGGTGAGCGTATGTGCCGCCTGTGCCGGGTGGGGGGAGCCAGGACCGGGGCTCAGGGTCCTGGGGCCAGGCTGGAGAGGAGGCTGACCCACACTTACTCTGTTTCCTCAAAAGCAATAAACTTTCCTCCAGAAAGTCACCTAATGTCAAGCAAAGACATGTTCCCCCAACTGCCTCTCCCATACTCAAACTTTTGCAGGGTCCCTGGGGTTTGGGCTCCGGAGGGACTGGGCTCCCCGGGGCCTCTGGGAAAGCAGATCCCTCTGGGCTCTGGGCTCCCTCCAGTGGAGGACCCTGAAAAGCAGCAGGGAGCCTGAAGTCGGAACGCCTAGGTCCCCCTCCCTTCTTGGCAGAGAAAGCTTTAGAGGTCTCATGACCACTGATGGGAGGGAGTAGGGGGACCCCAAGTTCAGAATTCTGGAAGACTCCAGGAGTGCCTCAGACTGACCGTCTCTGCCCCCGCCTCACAGGGCGCTATTCCTCAGACCCTGGTGGGAGTCAGCACAAGCTGAAGTTGCTGCCTGCAGATTCCCAAGGGACAAGTTGGACTATGAATCTGCTGTGCAGCCTTGGTGAAGTTCCTGTTTCTGGGGTAAACACTGAGTGAGACACACCCAGAAAAAAACACACATGCACAACTTCCCCAGCCACAAGGCCACACACACACACACACACACACACACATGCTTATACACGTGCGGGCAGGCTCATAGACATGTCAGCACTCAGAGCCACATGCAGTCACAGGGAGCCACACATATACACAAGGCTTGTTCAGCTTCTGAGTCATCATCATAACTAGTGGATGTTTTCTGCAGCTTTTGCTGGAGGAGGAGCTGAAGGAGGCCAAGGGACCCAGAGAGGCCTTCACACTCCCAAACCTGAGAGACAAAGTGTGTGGAAAGGGTGGTCTCTGGGGGGAACTTGGGAGGTGGGCGGAGGTTTCTACGCTCCTCTCACCCGAGACAGGGCTGGGCTGAGGGACCAAAGCTAGGCCTATGCTGCCCCCTGGTGCCTGAACTGATTCCCAGAACCCAGCTCCTCGGCCTCCCACCCCATGTGGATAAACAAGTGTGTCCAAGAGTGCATGGGTGTGTGGCCCAGCCGGGCAACAGGGTACCAGTTAAGATCTGGGACTCTGGAGACAGGCCACTTGGGTTCAAATCCTGCCAACACTGCTAACTGCACAGCTTTGGGTGATTTACTCTTTGTGCTTTAGTTCTGTCATCTGTAAAATGGAACAAATAATAGTCTTAACTGATAAGGTTGTGAGAGTGAAATACGATAATACATGTGAAGGATTAGAACAGTGCCTGGCACTAGTAAATGTTAGGCACTATTTTCATGGCCCAGAATAAACCAAACATGAGGAAGGCAACAGAGCCTCCATCCTACACAGGGGTCCCTGGGTTTGGGGATAATAGCTCCACAAAGACAGAGCCTATTAGAGGTATGTGTGTTTATGTGTTTATTGAGTCTGAAAGGCAGCGAATTGAAGAGGAGGGGGAGCAGAGGTGAAGATGACCAGCAGGGAATCTGTCTTAGAATCACGGTGTATGCAGTTTGTATGTGCTCCCAGGTGCCCATGCTGCCTGCAGACATTCACAGACAGTGGCTGAATTCAGGCTTCAGCATCTAAGGGTCTTAGAAAGTCCAAGCTCCCCAGAACTTTGGCAAGAGGAGGGGAGGAGTGAATGCAGTCTCTGACTTTTCCTCCTTTTGGGGGGTAGGAAGATGAGGAACAAATACTGGTAGGAAAACAATATTTACTGTCATCCTCTCTAATTGATTGCACCAATGGGGACACTGCAATGTCATGAAAAGAACTCATAATTTAGAGGCAAATCTGGTTTGGGTCTGACTCCACTTTGTGTCAACCCCTCAAATGAAGACAATAATTACATCTACTTTACATAGCCTAGACTAGGGTGCAAAATTTAAGGAAGCACTCATCTTCAGGTCGTGCAATTAAAGGGTTGGCTAGACTTTCAGTAATGACACCCCTACTTGCACAACCCTGAGAATGAGTGCTTTACTTGCTTCACCCTCCTCTGGGTCCTTCCACCCCACCAAATAGTTATTAAGATTGCATGAGAGAAAACATAGGAAAACAGAACTTTTGGGTCTGTGAACTGCAACAACCTAGTTGAGTCACAAAATCAAATTCGTGAGTGTATTTGTTTGCTAGGGTTGCCACAACAGAGCACCACAAGCTGCATGGCTTAAACAATAGAAATTTATTGTCTCACAGTACTAGAGGCTAGAAGTCCAAGATCACAGTATTGGCAGAGTTAGTCTCTTCTGAGGGCTGTGAGAGAGAATCAGTTCCAGGCCTCTGTCCTTGATTTGTAGATGGCCATCTTCATGTTTATATGGTGTTCTCCCTATGTGCGAGTCTGTCTCCAAATTTCCTTTTTTCTAAGGACACCAGTCAGATTGGATTTGAGCCCACCCTAAGGACTTCATTTTAACTTGATTACCTCTGTAAAGACCCCATCTCCAAATTAGGTCACATCCTGAGGTACTGGGGGTACCTCATATGAATATGAATTTTTGAGGGACATAGGAATTCAACATATAATATGTGAATTTTCAAGAGACACATTTCAACCCATAATAGTGAATCTTGACCATCACTTTTTAAAAACAAAGTAGAATAGAAAATACCAGAATGCATCATACAAAGTAAGGATAAGTAGTGTCTAATGAAACTTGTTTCAGTTTTATATGTGTATCTGAGTTTTAGGTCTTGATGTAAAAGACACTTTTTAGTGCAGGTTGAGATTTTTTAAAAAGCATGCGGATGTTGGTAATCATCACAAATCCCCCCTTTGCATTGCTTTTGGGTTTTTTGTTTGTTTTTTTTAAGCTGAGCCATCTTGCCACCTGTTGGCAGCTCAGCGGCAGCTCAGCTCAGGCTGTGAATAGAACCAGCGACCATGTTGCTCAGAGCTTGCACTCTTGGGCAAGCTCTTAACCAACTGAGCCACTCGGTGGGCCCTGCATTGCCTTTTAATTGTTTTATGGGTACATCCTTCTTCTCTGACTAGAACATAAGCTCCCGGAAAGCCCGGACTCATATCATCCTGTAAACACTGCTGTGTAGCTAGAAAAGACAACATTCTTTCTTACTAGTAAATACAAGGACTACCATTTACTGAATGTTTACTGTGTACCTGGCAATGGGCTAAATGTTTTACAAATACCCCCTTATATAAGGACTAAACTTGGTGATGAATTGATGGCAGGAACTCAGTACATTTCACAGACAAGAGGAGTGGGTGCCATGTTCAAGAGCCCTGGGCAGCAGGCTGGGATTTGTGGAGAATGAGGGACAGAAGGAAAAGGTCACTGAAGAAGTGTGGGAAGCAGAGGTGGGCCCCTAGCCAGCTCTGTTTCCCAGGCGTTTGTCATTGTCCCCAGATTTCCATCTTAATACTAACTCACCATTTAGATTACACAGAGACGCTCAGTTGGAAACTTCCTAGTTTCCTACTCTCTACCAACAGACATATTCATCATCACCTGCACCCTCCCTCAGGCTCAGAAGAGGGGGTGTCTGTGTCCCTGCCCCTGCCCAAGGTATGTTCTTCCACCTGTGCTCAAGGCCCCTCCCTTCTGCTTCTCCAGGCACTGTTGCATTCATTGTCTCCTGGATCCTTCAAATCTCCAACCTCTCATTCTCTAATCATTACAACTCTTTACCCTCAGCATATAAACCTGTTCAAATTGCTCCCACCTTTAAAAAAGTAAAATGAAACTGGTAGCAAGCAAACAAAACCAATCTGCCCAGAATATATGCCCAGTTAAATTTAACAAAAATTTGTTAGATGTCTGTTCTCAGGCTCTTAGAGCTGAGAGGGGGAATCCAATTCGTTAACAATGATACTACAGGATAATGGGAGCTGTCATTCCAATGAAGCACAAGGTGCCATGGAAGCATATAGGAGGGGCACCTAAACTAGGTAGAGGATAGGGGAGATCAGGGAGGTCTTCCTGGAGGAGGTGATGCCCAAATTGAACCTTGAAGGAAAACTAGGAGTTATTCAGGCAAAGAACAAGAGAAGAGTTAAACCAGGAAGAGGGTCTACTATGTGCAAAAGCATGGATATTATGGGAACATGGTACCTCTGGAAACAGGTAGGAGTAGTTTGGCAATGGGGAGCATTAGAGGATTTAGGGCAAGTAAGTAATATGATGATATTTAGTAGGCAAACCACCCTAGCTATAGTGTGGAGGATGGATTTAAAGTATAAGTCTGAAGCCAGGAGAATAGTTCAGATGGAGGAGACCACTTGGTGGAGTACAGGTGAAGCAGTGTGGAATCAAGTCTGGTCAGGAAGAAAAATAAAAATATGAGGAGCCAATGGGTAAGGAAAGAATAGAGTTAAGGAACTGGAAGTCTCAACAGACCTAAAGACCCGCTTTCTTGGGAGCCAGGGAGAGAAAAAGCCAGTGGGCTGGAATATTGTGTTCAGAAACAAGGGGTTGAGATTTCAGTCCAGCTCTCCCGGGAGGGTGTGGTACAGGTTGCCGATATTGGAGTAAGCGGCTATGGCAACGTGGAGGTGAGTCATCAGAGTTGAGGAGGGCAAGGAACCAGGAGGCCAGGGTACTGCTGGACTCCCTGCATATAAACACTGAAGCATTCTGAGGTGCACAGGAAGACAGTGAGTCAGATGCCAAAGTCTTCAAGGACTGTGGGCAAGTGACCAGGACATCAGTGGATTATGGCAAAATAACTAACGTTTAGTGAGGGTTTATGCGTTACTTCAGTTCTTACTTTAAAAACATCTAAGCTCTGTATATTTTATCCTACAACAATACTATGAACTATGGGCCCAAAATGGTAGCTACTAACCATATGTGGCTATTTAATTTTAATGTAAAAATTCAATTTCTCAGATGCAGCAGCCACATTTCAAGTGCACAATAATCACATATGGCTAATGGC